TTATTCTGTCAGTGTGTACTGTGTAGTCCCATAGAGTTGTGACAGGTCCTATCTCCGTAACCGGGTCTGGGTGGTGTTCATACCATTTTCTTTCAGTTTCCTTCCCGTAGAAGTTGCAGATTTTCCAGTGCAGATATTGGCCCACTCTGTCATGCCGGGTTTTATACTCAGTGGGTGTCAATGTCGTGCAAGATGATCAATCGTTTCTGGATATTTATCACAGAATCTGCATTTTGGGCTGACACAATATTTTAGTACATGTGCTTGATAATTCCTATTTAGCAAGCATTGGTCCTATGTAGCAAGGATGAAACCTTCAGTTTCAGCTTTCAACCCTGCACTACGTAGCCACTGATGGGTACGGGTTTTGTCTACGTCAGCTTGTTTAGTACGGGCAGAGTATTGGCCATGAAGCGGTTTATCTTGCCATCGTTTCTGTATCTGGTCGGTTGCATTCATCTTTGCTGTCTTTTTTTAAGTATTTTGCAGTTTCAACCGGTGTATTGTGCTGTAGTTGCATCTCTACGCCCATTTGGAATTCCATTTTGAATTTGTTGGCTCCTTTTATTACGGAGTAAAGACGCTTACTACTTTCATGTTCCTTGACGCATACCATCATCCAGTCTTCTGTAGTTTCCAAGTATCTTTGGAGGCCAATTGTTGTAGTTTTGTAGGACAGTTCTAGTTGAACTAATCCTCTGCCTCCTTCGGATCTGGCAACATACAGACGATCAACATCAGCTTTAGGATGATGCATGCGATAGCAAGTGAGAAGCTTTCTCGTTTTGGCGTCCATTCGCTTAATTTCAGCTATGGTCCAGTTAAGGACATTAAAGCTGTATTGCACCACAGGGACAGCCAATGTGTTTATGGCTGATATCCTTTTTTTTTGTTTAGCTCAGTATTTAGTACCAGACGTACACGCCTGTAATACTCTTTTCGTATTTTTTTCTTCATTTGGGGTGGGGATTGTATGCCATCTCCTTCGCTAATTCCTAGGTACTTATGAGCTTCATCATGCTCCAGTTCCCTCATCTTTGTGACAAAATCTAAATCTATTAAGGGTGTTTCTGTAATTCTACCTTTCTTAAAGGTTACTTTTGCACATTTATCTAATCCGAAGTCCATACCTATTAATCCGAAGTCCATACCTATTATTATTATTATTATTTTATTTCCTTTGGTTTCTGATAGATACTCATTACTTTCCGGGTGCCAACCAGAGACCTAAGGTCAGAAATATCATCATGACATTTTCCACTGAGCAGTTTTGAAAAAAATCGCACATATTTTACATAGATAAAACCCTTTGTAATGTGTGGGCCATAGTCGAGAGAACAATTTTTGGTGTTTCTTTTAGGCATGGGCTATCATAAATTCTTTCAATTTGTCTATTGGAATCTTTTCACATTAATCCGAGTGCTCCAACGACAATTGAGATATCGATTTCAAGGTCCTTGTATTTTAATAGTCTTTTTGAAAATCTTCAAAGGTACATTTTATTTACTTTGATTTCTGGTGTATACTCATTTCTTTCTGGGTCCCAACCAGAAATCTAAGGTCAGAAATGTGATGACAATTTCCACTGAGTATGTTTGAGAAAATGAAACAAAAAGGGAAAAACTAAGATCCCACACTGTACTTGGCAAAATATTTTGTATTTCTGTAAGACATGGGTCACCAAGATACCATTCAATGGATCTATCGGGGTATTTTCCAATCAATACGAGGTCCCCAACTACGACTGGAATTGTTAATGGCCCCAAGTGCCACATTTTTGAGATTTCCATTTCAAGGTTTCGCGTTATTATTATTATTATTATTTAATATTACTACATAATGATATCATATAATATTAATTATATATTTAATAATATTTTAAATAATCAAGATACCAGCATTCCACGCTACCTCAAGCCAAAGATTAGAAAAGAAACTCCCATCAGTGATAATAATGCATCGGAGAAACATATTTTCATGAAAAATCTTTTTAATAAAGCGATTTTATAAATTTCAAACGATAGTATAACTGGTAAGTTGAGTAATAATTTTGAAATGTTTCCTTATAAGGAAACGTTTAAAAAACGTTGGTAGCACTAGTTAGGGTCCCAGATATGGAAAAATAGTAAACCCCCAAATAAAAACAAATCTATGAAAGTATAAAAATACATTACCAATACATTTTATAGCAAAATGATGAACTATATTTTATCTATAGTTGAAGGCATGAAATTGCTTTCAAAAGATTTAGTTGAAGCCATAAAATTGTGTCCAGAATATTAAGATTTCTGTATTAAAACCGATGGAGATGTTGATATACCGCTAAACAAAATCAGCCAATGACATTATCATTCTTCATTATATTGATAAAAAATAAAAAAAAATAATTACTTGGTAATTATCTATGTCTATATATCTCTATATCTACATCTCTTTCCTTCCCTCTTTCTATCTCTGTTTTTCTTTTGTTTTCTCTCCCTCTCACTTTCTGTATATATATATATATCTATCCGTGTTGATATACAGGTTGGGGCAGAGCAACTTGCTTATTTGGAATATCAATTAAAACACAAGTAATGCAGGTATACATGTAATTCTTTGAACTGCAACTATTTCAACATTTAAATTTTATTTTTTACCAGGTTTTAAAGATGATATCAGTAAGATGGCGTCCAATTCTTCCCTATACACTGAGTCAATGTTTTGGGGGTGACCTTGCTGTTCGTGGGAGGCCAGGTTTCTTTTTCTTTACATCACCCGTTTCCCTGAAGTTGTTTACCCATGAAACAATCGACTGCCGGCCAGGAACACGACCACAGGGAGGGGGGGGGGTCAATATTGAAATGTCTACGGAATGCACGTTGCGTTGCGACGATTGAGCGACCGCTTGAAAAAAATGCCTCAACAGCGAAAGCGCGTTCCAACTTCGTCCACTCCATGACGCTCACTGGGGTTCCTGAAAAATAAACAAAAAATAAATAACGCATGTTAAGAACCAAACTTTAATCCACACCCTCTCAAATAAGTCCATCTCTACCATCCTTGGAGCAACCATCGCTTTAGGGCGTCAAATTTAAATAAGCAAGTTGCTCTGCCCCACCCTGTACTTGAAGCTGATATAAGCTTTCAATTAGCAATAGAAACAAAATTGTATGAAAGATCTTGTTACCTCTACAAAATTTAATAATGGCGTAGAAAACATAACAGATGATCTTAAAACCAAGAGAAAAAGTATGAATAGACATTTCATATATTGATCCATTTTGTGTCTTCCTTATAAAAGCTGAAATAATAAAATAAACGTACCTAACGACTAACAAAAACAAAACACTAAGAGAGTGCATTAGTAATATGCTAACACCGAATATTTAAACGCAGATCGCATTCTCCGAGTAGCCATTCCTTTTAACACAGGGATGGCTGCTCAGACTTAATAAAAACTGTTTCATTTACTTTGGGGTGAAATATGAAATTCCAATTGGGATTTGCACAAACCAGAGTTCTCCTGATATGTCGTGGCACACTGACGAATTATTTTTATCACCTGCTCCGCAATAGCAGACCTAGATCAACAGACAAATGATCACTCAGCTGAACTAGCCTGGTAAATACTGGAGTATACTATGGAAATTCTCCTCTGCAAAAGTTGATTTGTCCAGACACATGTAAAAAAATATATAACAGAATTTTTCTCGAAGACAGGCGGGCTGTCCTTGTAAGCAGATTTCAAGATCGACCGAAAAATGGATTATTTAAGGAAACCAAGTTTTCTATATATTTCCTTTTTAAAAGAAAAATAGTAAAGGATTCTGAATGTTGAGTAATTAATGAATGCTAACAATCTTTCAGGAATTCTATTTTTTTTTTTATCTTCCTTGTTTTCTTTGGAGATCTTCAGGGTGACAGTATTGGAATAAGATGGTTGGAATTAACGATAATCGAAAAACGAAAAGGAAAATAAAAAAGAAAAACAAAAAATACAACTATGAATATACAAATGAAAGAAAGAAGAAAAGTAACGTGTAAAATTTAAGAAGAAAGTAAATTGGGATTTAAAATTGAGAAAGAAAGAACTCGTAAATCTGGCCAAAAAACAATAAAAGAGAAAAACCCGTTAAAGAATAAAAGACAGGACATGACAAAAACCAGAGAAGAAACAGCGAACGAACAAAATAAAGAAAAAAAAAAATAAATAAATGAGGTGCGAAGCGAAAAAAGCGGATTGTAAAATGGCAGAGAAAAAGATTAGAAGGAATTTTAAAAATCAGAAAAACAAAATTCTAACTAACAGAAACTGGCAAAGTGAAAGAATAAGAAAGTATGAAAAATGGAAAAGAAAGAATACAGAATAGAAAAATTGACTTAAACGATGATTAACAAAGAAGGTATAAGCGTGAATGGTAAAGCATATATATATATATTTATTATTTCAATTAAAACAATTGTAGCACAAGTCCAAATAGGGCAACGCTGGTCGGCACTTTTTATCCTAGACATAGCTAGTATGATTCATGTCTCATTCATTGATTACAATTTACTAATTCATTGCAAAAACTCATTCCTCACCATTCAATACAACATACACCACAATACCACAAATTCACAGGGAACCTAAAAAAATGGCATAAAATGTCAGGATGTACAAATAAATCAAATGTCTCCTTTTCTCCATTTTATATATTGTTATGGTCCAGGTTAGGACCAAGGAAGAACAACACGAACACAAGAGTAGAATTAACGAAGGTATATTACACGAAATAATAATACAAGATGTGGAAGGTGTTAGTATGACTGTCAGGCTGGTTTGGAGTGAACTACTATCGGCTCGACTCGATACGTCCCTCCTTCTTGAGAGGCGTAGTATACATAGTGTTAGGAAGAGTTCATTCTGTAGTTATAGGTAAGGACCCATGACAATAACGAACCCAACAGAAATTGGAACTCGGCTGTCCATTAACAATTCTGAGTCATTAACTATTACACCACTCTCACATCCTACCTTACAACACCTGGTATTCCCAAGCAGTCACCGATCTAAGTACTGACCAGACTCTATGTTGCTAAACTTCGGTGATCGTACAGGAACCAATGTTTCAATATGATGCGGTCGTAAGCATGCAAGTCGTTATAAAGAAACAACTGGGCCCTGCGCGTTCGAATGTTCGGAATTATGTCTTTATTTTGTTTTTTTTTCACTTTCAACGCCACTGGTGATCATTGTGACATTGCAATTCATTTTGAGATGCTTGACGGGGGAAGAGGATGTAAAGTGAATCCATGCCTTTTCCGACACAAAAGAAATGTCTCCGATGAGAGTTGAATACGGTTGGCCAATTTCGGTAACCACCGCACGCAATTCCTATATTTGCGTTATTTTAAATAATGCATAAGGCAGTATTTTTTTACTGCCAAAAAATCAGATGTCCATAATTGAATGACATACTTAAAATTTCAGTGCTTGTTTTCTTTCATTCTTCATATTAATCTAAGAGCAATTACATGTTATGGTCCAGGTTAGGACCAAGAAAGAACAACCCGAACACAAGAGTAGAAATAACGAAGGTATATTACACGAAATAATAATACAAGATGTGGAAGGTGTTAGTATGACTGTCAGTCTGGTTTGGAGTGAACTACTATCGACTCGAATCGATTCGATATCTAGCCACCCCTCCGACGAAGGTTGCATATGGCACAAGGTCGAGTTTAACGTGGGTTTCCCGGGCCCGTAGGCTCGGCCAAAAAAATGCCCGTAGAACCCGTATAAACGGGATCGGGTTGGTCAACCTCCCCGATCGAGACTCTGCCCTTCGGCGGAGCCTCGTCCGGGTTCCTCTCTGCTCAGAAGCAGAGAGTTCGACCGTCAAGCAGAGAAGCTCGCCTTGATTCAGTATCTAGCCACCCCCCCCACGAGGGTTGCATGCGACACAAGGTCATTTTTATCGTGGGTTTCCCGAGCCCGTAGGCTCAGCCAAAAATATGCCCGTATAACTCGTAAAAACGAGATAGGGTAGGTCATTCACCCCGAACGAGATTCTGCCCTTCGGCGGAACCTCGTCCGGGTTCCTTTCTGCTGAAAAGCAGAGAGTTCGACCGTCAAGTCGAGAAGCTCGGCTTGATTCGACCCACTCTCTTGAGAGGCGTAGTATATATAGTGTTAGGAAGAGTTCATTCTGTAGTTATAGGTAAGGACCCATGACAGTATATATATATATATATATATATATATATATATATATATATATATGCTCATGAAATGAGAAGAGAGGGGTGAAGGCAGAAAACAAAGCTAAAGTATACCAAAAACTTCAAACTAGCATAATCCATAGGACCCAACCACCATACAAAAATAAGTGGGCATTGTATTATGCCTTTAGAAAGAATCAAGAAGCACACTGACTAAAGGCGATGGAATGGAAAAAGATAGAATGGGAAAAAAAAACAAATGTTGATCCAATGGAGATGAAAGGGGGCAAAAAACAAACTGGGGAGGTTGGGAATGTCGACATGGATCAGAACAAAAGAGAGATCAGGCCAGTTACTCAAATTAACTAGGTAAACAAAAAGAGTGTCTAACTTAACCAGGAGAGGGTTCACGTGAAACAGACCCGTTGCGTCAAAGTGGACTTAGAAAAGAAAATCAAGGCTGGCTCCATCCACTCGCAGCAAACTCGACACTTTTACCCACCTTTCTGCCGATAACAAACGCTTTCTATCAGTTCCCATTATTCATCTTGAGCTGATGCCGAAAGAATCCGGCCAAGACCTGATGAGAAGGCAGTATAAATATGTGTTAAAGAAGAAAAAGAACGATAAGAGAAAAAAAGATTTAAATTAGAAAGATGATAAAAGGCTATATAAATCCTGTAGTGGCAGTATAAATATGTGTTAAAGAAGAAAAAGAACGATAAGAGAAAAAAAGATTTAAATTAGAAAGATGATAAAAGGCTATATAAATCCTGTAGTGGCAGTATAAATATGTGTTAAAGAAGAAAAAGAACGATAAGAGAAAAAAAGATTTAAATTAGAAAGATGATAGAAGGCTATATAAATCCTGTAGTGGTATGTTGATAGGAATGGATGGTTTGTAGATGACTCTCTATGGTTTTGTGATTAACATGACCACACAATTTATAATTGATGTAAAATACCACAAAGCATGAAATACAAGAAGGAACGAAATGGTTTTAAAAACATAACATGTGTATTTATTTGTGTATGTACATGCCTAGAAGTTAAAGATCTTTAGATGTCCCTTAGACTGTGAATATTTTTATCTGAACTCACAAACGTTGAAATAATTACAAACTGAGAAATGCTGAATGAACTGTAGATTTAGAAATATGTTTGAAAGAGAAAACTTCTTGTTTGGAAATTTTCTGTATGTTAGAATTTAGTTTGGAAAAGTTCGTACGTACGTGCATGCGTGAATATGCTTTTAACGTCTGACCGTCCATGGTCGAGACGAGAATCCTTTTGGGACTACAACTTGCAGCGAGAAGAGAGAAAAGTGAAAGCAGCTAGCTTGTGCATGCTATTTATAATTATTGTAATCACGTGACAAGCTCACAGCAAATTGGCGGGAAAACGTGACTGGAAAAAATATTTGTACGTGGGTGGATTGCAACGCCCACTTGTGTGTTTATTGACTAATTAGAAGCTAATATTTCCTGAAAATATTTACTAAGCTGAGTAGGCTCTCTGAACCATTTTTTTTTTTTATACAAAATTGTAGAAAATTCAACATTTATATGAAAGTGGAAGCGGGATGCTAAAATCTGATAACAACGAAGGAAATCCAAAGAATGAATGTGGACTGAGAATAGGAACGAATCCATAGTGATGCTAATATTTTCATTTGAGGGAATGATGAAAGCCACACATAAAATGTTAAAGATCTGTCATATATAATGACAAATTGTCGCTGATATTTTATATTAACATCCGCTCTTCACAATTGATACATGTATTCATGCGTACCGGAAGTCATCTGAAGATTTGAATACGCCTTTTATGTGTGTGTGTTTTCGCGTCCGACAAATGCTTCAAGAGAATAGAGTAACAAAATAAAAAATAAAAAAATAATTCCAATTTTATCAAACATAAACGGGAAATAGAACCATAATTAATTTCTTCTGAAATAATTAAATAACTTGGTGTAGCAATTATATGATTATAGAAGTTACTTCGATGTGACGAACAGAGCAATGACGTTTCGATATTGTGACGAACATATTAACTAGAAAATTTTAATTCAATTATTACGTAAAACATTGAAAATTGAATTTCCTTCCGTTGAAATAAACAAGCGTAACTTCAGGTGCGAAACCAATCGGACACCAGCCACAACATCGAAACGTTTAATAAACAAATTCTTTTGATTTTATATGCTTACTTAGCTTAAAAATGTCGAGCATCATTTAAGCTAGCTACTGCGGAGTACTCTTGATTGGGCCTTACTCATAACAGGTAGGGAGAAGTAGCTGCAAGAGTCAACAATAAACTACAGAAGAGTTTTGCATTAATATTAAAATTACCTTTTAAAAGTTCAACAATAATTCTTCTGTCGCCACATAACTTAAAGACAATTTGATGCACGTAGGTCCTTATTTTCCGTACAAACAATTACTTTGTATTTCATGGGGGATTTTCACTAGATTTTGTAATTAATTTCGAGAATTCCAAAATTTATTTCCAAGTTATAAAAATTATTGTACAAAAATACAAAAAAAAAAAAAAAAAACACGTAAAAAATCACCGATAACAATTGCAGTAATGAAAACTTGGGAATCCAAAATTTCAAGATCTCGTGTCCAGATCCGGGCCGAAATGTTTTTAATTTGCTCACAGAGTCTACCTGATTCCAAAATACAGTGTAACCCGGATATAAGAGAGTTGTCGGGACCGGAGAAGAAGTCTCTTATATCCGGGTTTGGTCTATTTTGTTTAGGTAAGTATGGCTCTAATTTGGGATCAGATAAAAATCTCTCTTATATCCGGGTTTCTCTTATATCCGGGTTTCTCTTATATCCGGATTACACTGTAATATGTTATGCTGGGCTATGTCCTGTAGGAGTAAAGTTGAAAAAGTCAGACACAGTGACACACTGACATTCGCATTTATTATATAGATATACATTTCTACGCGTTATCTTGCAAAAGCGAACATCAGTAATATGTACAAGAGTTTGCATTTGAGAAATATCTAAATATATTCATAGATCAGTCGTGACTTCTTTTTTCATGCTCTCCGATCTTTGCCGATCAGACCCTGACGTATCACCAACCACGAAGAATAGACGCTTCCTTAGGGAGGCCTCGTGCTTTGAGCGCCGTCTGGGAGAAAATCAATCCAAAATAAATGAGTTGTATTGCATTTTCTGGTGTGTGAATGTAGCGCAATGATTATGGGCTAGAATCTGAAATCGGCGTGTCGTGTTGTATGTGTTCACTTGTATTTTTCAGCTCCTTTGCCGGAAGTTGACTAGACAATGCGTCTATAGTTTACATTGTTTTGTATGTTTATAGATGAATAATGTCTAATATATTTATATTGCAAATTATTGCAGAAGCTATCGCCAACAGACTAATTATAATTGGTGCTTTGGCAAATTTTTAATTTACTTGGAGTTGAAAGCAACGAACGATAATGAATGTCGAAAAACAACAGATCAAATTACAACAAGAATATTCAATATAACTTTCGACATACTTTGAAACTGAAAGTAAACTAATTATGAGGAAAACTACACTGGCTATACAATTTAGTAACAAAGAGATTAACATCAAACGCTAAAATTTAGAAAACTACTCATTTCTACCCTCTCTATTTCTCTCTCTCTCTCTCTCTCTCTTCTTTTTCTGCTTTACATTAACGATTTGCTCAGGAGCATTGTCAAATCATTAGCCAAAATATATGCGTCCGATACTCCAGTTCTTGGGTTCACCTCCAAAAATCTAGACGACCGGAGACTGACAGGTGGTCACTCATCTAATCTAGTACGATCACCAAAGTTAAGGAATGTTGAGTCTGATCAGTTCCTAAATGGGTTACTTCTTTGGAATCTCAGCTGGAGTAAGTTTGGATGTGCGGGTGGTTGAATGGATAATG